TTTAATATTCGCACCCCTCCAGTTGAGGACCTTTGCTTTTGCAACCCCCCGAAGAAGTTAATTTTATGCCATCCCCAAAGAATTCCAGGGTCAAATTAATGCACCCCTGTAGAATTCCATATTCCTCAACAACCTCGTACCCAGGGTCTTTACTCTACTCTACTCGTGGGGAGAAAAGACCCTGGTTGGGGCTGGTCACGTGAGCAATTAAAATTCTATCGCCACAGGGGGTGTGGCAGAGTGTCGTATTACATGCTTCCACTTGTAGCGTTCTTTCATTCGAAATCGCTATTATGTTCTTGCTTCGACCATATTGCTTTTTTGTTAACAAACGAGTCATTCTCAATCCAAAGCATGTTTTTTTGTCTGGAAAGTGCCTATTTAGAGAAGAATGTAATGTCTGCATTGAGAAGGTATATACAAAGTCTGTAAATTTTCATCTACTGCCCATGTTGGTGTTCGCGAAATACAAGTTGCGCAACAAATCATATGCTAATGTTTTCTGGAGAGAAGTATTAAAATTAGAAGTTAGAACCAAAACATTAAACATGACAAAAGAAAATATATTTATGCTAAACAATCCATTTTGACGCCAGGCTATTTGTAGTGCACAATTCCATGTCCCACAAACCTCTTAGATGAAGCAAGAAATCCTAAAGCAACTTTGTTCATGTGAAAATAAATGTAAATGTTTACAGCAGACATTGTAGAGTTTGCTGTAGAACAAGGGTGTTGATAGTTTGAGACAGGAAACAACCCTGCAGTGTTACAATTGATGTACAGGCTTCAAACTTCCAAGGGCATGCAGAAAGTTATGTGCTTTTAACAATATATTTTAATTTCTTTATTTAAGCTAATTATGTTTGCATATCACATATACAATGTGTTTTAAAAGAAGGGACCTTATTGGTTATTAGATTAAACATAGTTGTGATAAACATAGTTGTGATAAACTCTTGTGCTTGACAACATTTTATTAGTTTAGAAACATCTTGTTTTCTTTATACACCCTCGGGCATTCAAATTCTAACAAATAAATCCTTTTAAATAACTTGCATTTTTTTTTTGTTCACTATGTTTTTTGGAATGTTCAAACATTTCCATCTCATGTGCATGTGTAGGAATAGTTTTATCTACATAAATAAACTTATTTTATCTACACTATTTTTAATAAGCAATAAATGAACAGTCCTCAAGAAAATGATCCTAATATTAGTGAGGTAGCCTGCATTGAAAATGTTTTTCCATGCAATGTTATATTTTATATTTTTAAATCTTCGTCAGCTATTTCGTTTGCTAAGGTATAGTGTATAAGAATGTTTTCTTGTTTCAGTTGATCCATGTGGTGGCCAACTTTTCCAACACCTCTGACATCCATCATATGTCGTTGTGTTGTCCCCCAAACAGATGGCTCAGTTTTTCTGGCAACCTCAAGTTCTTTGTTTGCCATATCCAATACTTGTGCAGTCTATAAATTCTGATTTCGAACTAGGCGACTGATCGCTGGCAGTGGCAATGTTGAAATCTATGCTTCGCTTGAGCCTTGGCTGACGGTTTTGCCACAGAAGGTGAAATTTCGACACAACGTTTAATACGTGTATCTTCTTGTAATGATCGCCGTGTTTCGGTAACAATATTCTTGAACTGAATAAAGTTTAATCTCCTAACACACAAGGGGCAAACAAAATGTGGAAGGTTGTTTATGTCTTGTCGCAACTCGTTGCCATAAACGACCTCCGCGTTTCGTAAAACGTCTTATTCCTTTCACGAAAGAGATTTTTACTTTGCCCAGGATCAGCGACACAGTTACAACGAGATATAGCTGTCGATTCCCAGTCATTCCCTTCGTTTTGTGTAGAGTTTCTTCGGCGGTCAAGGCCCGAGATCGATTGAGTGAAATTTGACCGGATTCACCGGAATTTTTGACTTGTGTAATTTAATATTACTACATGTGTGATGCGTTTGACAACAGGATGTATTTAATTTCAATCCAAGATTTATATAAGTTCATATTAGCGAAAAAGAAATCCAAACTTGAGAATTCTGTATAATCAAAACAAAATGATGGCCAATCTAAATTTCAATTTTCAATACAACTCCTCTGTCACCCCTCCCAGATAAGAATTTAAATTTACCACGCGAAATCCGTGTGACACATGACCAGCCCCAACCAGGGTCTTTTCTCCCCACGAGTAGAGTAAAGACCCTGGGTACGAGGTTGACTCCTCAACTGGTATGCGCAACATACACACAGCTGTCACAGCATAACTATTAACAATGAGACGGCAAATTTATATTACCTACTACCTAGTTTCAGTTAATAAATGTTACTGATTTACAGCGTAAATACCTGAGGTTTTCAAAATAGGGTTTTCCTTAGAAAAACAACCCTGGCCATGCAGCCTCTTTTCGATGCAGCCCCTTTATCAGGCAACAAAATTTTGTTAGGGCTTAATCACATGAACCCTGAAGAATTCCTGTCTTCCCTATGAACCCCTGAAGAAATTCTTATCATTATCCTTCAAAATAGCGCTTAAATCTTTTTAAATATATTTACAACAAACATTGCTCCCTGATTGTTCTTGAATGCCTACTTAGTTCAAAAATTTATTTGTAGGAAACTCTTGCCAATGGTTGGGTGAATCTCGAACAAATATCTTTAAATTGTTTAACAACTTAACAACTAAACAGAAATTAACCATACAAATTACACAAATATAAGCACAAATGAAGTAATTGAATTCAGTATAACTTTTGTTGGCATACAAAACTACATGCTTCATTTGTCCGCACTATGGCCCCGTTTATACTACAGGGTGAGTAAAAAAAAACCTGACACCTTTGAAATTCAAATTAGCTGCAAATTTAATATGGCTGGAATTTGACATTGTGTACAATCAACAAGACGTGGTTAATTAATTCGAAAGTGTTTAAACCAGATTGAACTAATTCAACGTGGCGTGTGACCTAGAAAAACGATTTGATAAAACTGTTCTCTTTTATTTACAGAGCTTAGAATGCATTTTAACTTCCGATGGGAACAAACTTTATGTTCTAGGTTAATTAATGGGTTCACTTATTTAATATGCTTCGATATGAGATATTTTAGGCAACTTCTGTCACATTACAGCCGATTATAGACACATTGCAACTAATTTGAATTTCAAAGGTGTCAGGTTTTTTTACTCACCCTGTACAGTCAATTTATTGGCATGGCTTAAATGGGTACCCGTTAATCTTGTTCCCTGAGCCTGTAGCTTACTCTTGGGAGGAAAGAATTGCTCTGGGATATTCGAATTCAGAAATTATTCTGATTTGTTATTCACGGCGTTGAAATATCATAATATAGTTCAAACCCAGTACAAAATAGAAGCCAGTTCTTGTTTGAATTATCCATGATCAGTCTGGGTTCTGGTTTGAATTATCCCCGAGTCTTTGTCTCCTCTCAAGAGAAAATTGCGTGCTTGGGAGACAAGATTAGGTACCATTACAAGCTTTAAAAGTACCATTACAAGCTTTAAAAGTACCATTACACGCCATATTATAAGATTGCACCGATAAAAATTATTGTAGGGGAACCGGGACTCAGATTCATCTAGTTAGCCTTAATTTTTTATTTAATTACTGTAAATCTTAAATGCGCAATTTGCCTTGGGCTAAAAGTGGCGTCACCTCCACTGTATAAACTCAATCTGGTTCACTGACATAAACAACAGTTATTTCATCATTTTCGATTGTTGAAGATTGTACCTCTGCTGAATACCATCCTGGCTTCCACTCAGAATCGTTAATTTCTTCTGATGACCATCTAATTTTTAAATTGGAGCCAACTTCAAAATAATCTTCATACTGTACATGCTCTTGGTCGCTTCGATTTTGTGTTGTGTCCCCTCCTATTATGTTTTCATGCTTGTTAAGTTTGTTGACAGGTGGCGAGATTTTGTGCTTTAGGTATATTAGCAAAGGTTCAAATAGTTTCTCAAGGTTTTCCCTCGAGATACCATATGGAATTTCTACTTGCGACTGGCTTATAAGATTACCAGGAAATTTTCTCTTTCGGTGAAATTCTGGTTGATCAAGAATTTCATTCTCTAATTGATATAAAATCAATGTTTTAGTTAACTTAATCAGGTCCAGCACTTCACGTACTTGCATATAAGATGCCAAGTGAGATCGTTCATGCTGCAACAGAAATACACGAAGGACCAAATTATCTTTCTTTCCAGCTACAGACAGATGATGGTATTTCAAGATGTACTGAAGAGTTTCAGAAGGTAGCTTTTTTAACATAGAAATACTTTTTGGCAACTTTCTTAAATCTCCCTTGTAATCTGCCTGAAAATCGTCGGGGATGTCTTCACCTTGAGCAAGTGCCAACGCCTTAACAATTGCATGTTTCTGCCCTTTAAATATAACGTTTTCTTTCTTGCATATTTGCTGCAATTCGTCCATGCTATGTTTGTAAAGAGGATGTTTCCGCCAAGTTTCCCGTCCAATATTATGCACCTATCAATGTTAATCCCGGGGGGTAAGGGTGCGGGCAGAGGACGGGAATTTGAAGAGAAAAATGAAAATTGGTTCAAATGCCCGCTTGTGGGGCACTCTAAGATAATCAAAACAGACATGCCCGGGGGATAGATTGAGACAGAATATTCTATAAATATTCTAATAATCTATAAAAATCGTCCAGGAATTGTGTAACAAATTTATGTAGTGAACCAGTAATCAAAACAAAAACTTCAAAAAAACTTTAACAATTTAATTTTAACAACATCCCACCACAACATAAAAACTTTAAAAAACATCAAGCATGGTGTTTACATAATACAACTACCAGTCTGCCATGATACTGTCGATCTACTGTGTACATGATACTGTGAATAATACTGTGAGGAAACTGGCCATTGCAACACATATGTATAAATAAAGCTTTTAGTGCCTTATTTTATGCAATTATTACAAATAAGAAGCATTCAATAATAAACGTTATATGAACAATGTTATTCAAACTCCCATGATTCAACACAGTCTAAGCATTGCCAGTAACTAGGTACTTCAGTAGGAAGGATTCCAACACAAATCATGTGATACCAACAAGTGCAACTGTCACAACAAACCCAATCCACATCTGCATCAACAGACTCATCTTCCAAAGCCAATGGGTGAACTCTCTTACATGCCTTACACAATTCTTCATCTTCAACTGCTCCTCCCTCTTCTTCTGCACTTTTGTTTTCTTCTTGTTGTCTTTGACTCTTTTTCTGTTTTCTTTGTTCACCTTTACTCTTGTTCGTTTCTTGCTGTTGCATCCTCTTAGCTTTTCTTGTCTCCGCAGCCTTTACAATCCCTTTTTGACGATTTTCGTAAACATTTTTCAAATGCTGAAACCACATCTCCGTCTCATCACGTGGCAACAAAACTTTTTCTGCAACTTCCAGCAGGTTATTTTCTTCCGGTACTTCATGGGTACGATTAAATTCCTGTAAAATTACTTTTGACGGTGGATCATGAGGAACCATCTTTCCATCTCCTTTAGAAACCTCTTCCCACAGCTCATCAACTTTGCGATAATGTCCTGAGCACTGTGTTTCACATTCCTGGCATTCGCTACGACCGTAATGTCGAACAGGATCGGGAACAGGAACAGGTATAAAGGACAAAGGAGGGCCCTCTGGGTACCATTTACACTCTTCCAACGGTACACCTTCCTTGCAAAGTGGATGAATGCAGTTGTCTCTGTAGCAGCAAGTGAGGCAGAAAATATACTTTTGAGGAACATCTTTCCGGATATGGCGTTCTCGCAAATCCCAAATTCGCTTTATTTCATTAAATTCATGAGGATGGTCTTTCTCTAGCTTTTTCTTTGCTTTTTTTGTTCCTTTCAAGAATGTGGTTAAGAGTTTATTCTCAAGCTGCTGATTCGCGCTGTCTGCTCCTCGGAATAGGTGAATTTCAGTTCCAGCACATGGTGCTTTGTCAACCCTTGAACAGTAGACGTCAATAGCAGAATTCAAGTTTTTGTGATGTAATTTCTCATCGACCTTCCCGCCATTGCTCAGGCAGGACCCATTAAGCGTCGAAGGTATAAATAAATTTGCGTGTGCCAGAGCCAAGCACCCATTTTGCAATTCTACTCTGTTCTTGTAACTTGCGCCGCTGTTTCTTGATGTAACTAACAGGACTCGACTTTTAGACTTTAAATGGCGCACCGTCCACCAATATTGGACTTCTAAGTGGGATGGTCCCTCGTCGTAACTTCCGTCCACCCGAACACACTCAACCTCCTTCCTTTTTCCAGTTATAGGATTTATAAATGCTGGGGTTATTTCTTCTTGTTGCTCTAACATTTCAAGATCAGCAAAATGTTGCGCGGGGTTTTTTTCAAAAAGTCCTGGTGCCTTCACAACACCTGCACAAATTTCACTTGTCGTTTTTGTACTGGGGAAGTTATATGATGTAGTTTGAAGGATAGATGAGTATTTGTTGACATAGTCTGTTCTTGTCGTAAGGTGTTCATTTCCCTTCACACATAGTGTGGCGTGTTGCTTGTTGGTAGCCATTGTGTCCAATCTGAAGCCTGCCTGATCGTCTCTTCCAATATTAATGATATTGCAACCATTTTCATGTTGAAGTTTATCTAACGCAGCGTACAGGGCAGCACTCCAGTGTTGATCAGGATTATACCGAATAGTAAAACCTTTTCTTGCTCTTTTACTTACAACTTTTGCTATCCCATGGTACCGAGAAGCAGACCTTCTTCTCTTATTACGAGCGCAGCATAACTGAACCACACTACCATATGAAATTTTTCGGCCATACTTATTTTCTAAGTGTTCTTTTATTCTCCTGAATGTCGCCTTCTTCTTTATTTTCCGATTACCATCAAAAGTCAATATCCCTGTTCTTCTCCACGCATCTGCTCCTGCACCGCACTGTTTCACAAACTGTTCTATTTCTTGGCCAATACCTGGACATTCTGAAATTATTTTGCCAACTTTTTTGCTTCGCCTTCTCTTCATTAAACGTGCTTCAGCCAGCCTTTTCTTCGTTTGTCTCACGCATTTACGTCGTATATAAGCTCTTTTCTTCATAATTAATTCCTTTCCTCGTTGATCTAATACACTTTTAACTCCCTTGGCCCATATTTCGGCTTCACTAGATCCTGAGTCGGATACTACATCGTCAGAAGAAATTTCCTGACCGGAACCATCCGCAGAATTCGGTTCTTCTGTATTGTCGGTATCCGTCTCACTCGTACTGTCCATTTCGTCACTTTCGCCACTCGTTTCATATACACCTAAAGACTGCAGCAATGCCTTTTCTTTGATCTTTGCAACATTTTCAATCGCATCTTTGATGGCACAAGCTTCCTCCATCGCTTGTTCCACCTTGGCTTTCCTTTCGTTTAAACTTGAAAACCCGTAAATATTTTTCGCTTTCGTATTTGAGATCCCCGATGACTTTGCAATAGCATATTTTAAACGTTCACGCTCACTTTCTGACTCAGCCAGATTTAAAAGTTTCCGAACTTCATCTTTTGCCATCTCCCCGTTTATCTGTTTGTGCTTGCATGTTTCTGCCATTAGGGACTGTATTATGTACAAGTTTGCTGGCCGTAATTTATTGAGTAAATACAAACAAAACGTTCTTTGTTTAAGTGTTCCTACTCCAACAACTGCAAGAGGCATTTGTAACAATTTTCGGCGAGCATGAAATGATTTATACTTAATGTTCGGACTACACATCTTAAACGCGTCTGCAAGCTTTAAGAATCCTTTCTTGATAATTTCTTCAGCAACACTAATAGTTCCTTTACACTTACAACACGGCTTCTTGTGGTTGCGATCACATATAACTAACCTGGCGCGCACGTACTCATTAAGTGTAAGTCCTTCAAATCTAGAAATATAAACGTTTTCTTTAAGAGTTTCGTGGCTTGATAAACAACGTTTCTGCTGCTCCCAGTAAATATGTACAAGTTCATCATCCCCTCTCCCAGAAGAAGAGGGGCTGTTTAAAAAGGTTGGCTTGAGAGAGTAGGGCTTGATGGTGGTGACGCCATTATGGTGTCAGCACTTGCACCAGAATGAGAACTTGATCCGCAATCAACGTCTTCTGCATCAAGAAGGTTATCGCTCAATTCAAAACTTTGTGTGTTATCTTCTGAAACTTCTGTCAAATCAACCACCGTAGAGACTGGATTATTAGATTTTTGTGACTCATCAGGCTGCAACATAACATCATCGTCAGGGCCGCCTGCATCTTCACCAGTTTCATTTTGAGGGTGGTCTTTAAAGAATTTCGTCAAATCTGACACCTTCTTTACTTTTGGTGGAGGTGAGCTGAGGATTTCTTGAGTTTTGACAGATTTTCGTTTGTGGTACCATTTTGACTTTGCTTCCACTTTCTTGAGCGCTGCTAGCTGTTTCTCACTTTCGCGTTTTTCTCTTAAAAGGGCTCTTATATCGCCAATGAGTTGATCACACTGCTTAAAATCTTTTACCAGCTTTGCTTTTTCCATTCTACTCTCTTTCATTCGTATTTGGCTTTCGACATTGGTTAACATTGTTTCGAAGTGCTTTATCTCTTTCTGTCTTTCTACTTGGTTTACTTTTGCTCTTTTCTTTCCATCATCACTACTGTTGTCACTTGAACTCTTGGATCTTGAATAACCCTTCTTAAATTTATATCCCCCTTCCCTTACATTTTCTTTCGCCTGTTTATATAGTTCACCTGAAAGAAAAATAGCACACTTTCCAATTTCCCTATTTTTGTTGTTGTTTTAAGTCAACTGGTATCCTAAAATATTACCATAAACAGGTAAAAATGGAACAAGTTGGTGATGAATCAAGACAGAACAAAAATTTTAACATTGTTTTAGCATTTTGGCATGATAATTGTGTTCTTTATTGCATCAACAATGTCAATGTTGCTCAGGTTGCAGCATTACATTGTTTAATTATACTGATAACTTGCAACAACCTGGGCGTTTTTATTAATGTAATGATTACAGTAAAATCACACATAAAAGAACCACTATATTTTATACTGTAAAAAACAAATGTAAGCAAAAAACAAACAAACAAATGTAAGAAGAATGTACTGTGCAATTTCATTTATAGGATTAATTATTAGATTGAGCCATTCCAACACTTGTCAGTCCAAAGTGGGTTTTTGTATTATGTCAGCCCAAAATGCTTAAATTTCAGGTTAATGGTGCTTTAAAAATGCCCAGTGTTTTATTGTATATGTATGTATGTATGTGCATGTGAAATCAATGTCTGTGTGTGCGTGTGCGTGTGCGTGTGCGTGCATGTGTGTTACAAATCCATACTGGATGCTTGAAATCTTGCAATGCAATGTGTACAGCTGCATCATTAACAGCTACTTCATACTCTGTTTTTGGATTCTTATATATCTTTGCCTTCTCAACTACATTTATATTGTTATTTGACATATTTCCTTCTCCACTAGAGCTAGCCATTTCCTATTTAAAATTCGAAAGGAAACAATAAAATTGACAAATAACTTAATCTACATGAATATTGCTTCATAATTTACCCAGAAAACGAAATCATGTACATGAAAACTCAAATAGTTTGTATTAAACAAAGTTGTAAATTGATTTACACTGAAAAATATTTACCTGTTCAGATGGATTTCTTAATTTTAACTGGCCTCCCTCAAATGTTAGTCGCTGCTGCTGGGAGAGGATTATAGGTTCTGTTTGGGTTCTTGGTGTGTTGCTTTCACCAGCATCCATCAAGACAAAGCATGTATTTACTGGAAATGAACTGAAAACCTCTTCTTCATCAATAATTGATTCATCTTCAAGCATGACCTTAATTTCATCAGGTTTGCATTTTAATGACAGTTTAATTTGTCCTAAAAGCAACAAATCATAAAAATACATTTACACAGTTATACTAGCTTTTATATTTTGCTCACACTCTGTACTAAAAGACCATGCACATTTTGCTCTATAGAAACTTATAAGATTGAATATTTATCAGTGCACCAGCTAGTACTTCTATTTACCTTTATCTTTCAATTCTTGTAAAGAACTGGCAGATACACAGTATCTTTGACCTTTTGTATCTCTAATTTTATACACCGATGCCATATTTCCGGCTCAATAAACTTTATACACACGCTATAGAAATTAATCAAAACTTTTTATGAAATACAATTGGGACTGTTCATTAATTATACATATGGATGACTGGAGTAAAACAATGCATTTAGTGAAACGTTACAATTTTGTCAACCCATAATGCCCTATTTTGATCGAACTTAAGAACGTTAAAGCCTCTAAATTGTCAAAAACAGCCTTTTCAAAGTCTTTTAGACAATAATGCCCCCTTGTAACAAGCAAATATTTTAAATTTTAGACCACCCCAAGTTTTCCTCCAGTTCAAGTGTAGATCCAGCACTAGTGCACTAATTTGCATGACACAAGAAAACTGCTAAAAATAATCACTTTGTTTTGTCATGCAAATTAGTGCACTAGTACTGGATCCACCCCTCTCCAGTTAATGCAATACAGTCCCTAACAACAGACTTAACAGTCCCTATAACCAGTAAGCTATACTGTGCCTGTATAAACATGGGTGCTAACTAAATTTTGTCAGTCATATTTAAATATATATCAACTGAAGGTGTTTTTATATATATTAGAATGAATTTATTCCGTGCCTTTTTAATATAAATAATAAAATATGCACAAGGTGTATAAAAAAACATGTGAATATTTAATACATTTAAATATTTATACATATTCATTAAATTTAGAATTATTGATGCAATTGACAATGATCGATTTCAAATACAACAACTGCTACTTTTAGAAAGTTTAAATTATTTTTATTGGATGGATAGTATTTATAAAAAGATTTTATATTAAGGATATATTTTAATAGATTTTACTCACCTTTGTTTCCACGTGCTGTCAAACGCTATAAAGACGCCAGAAAGGACAAAAGCGGATGCGGATACGGGAATCAAAAACAAAGCCTGGGTTTCCGGACCCAATTCCGGTTGACTCCAGGCTTCATATTTCAAAACGCGTGTCAAATCGCCAGCACCCGGGGAAAAGTCTTTGTCAAATGCCCGTCTGAGGGGATAGAATTCACAGTCAAATTCCCGTCCTCTGCCCGCACCCTTACCCCCCGGGATCAACATTGATAGGTGCATTATTTCAACCACTTTTTTCGGCCTTTTCTTTTCTCTGAGCAAAATACGCTATTACTTCTTTGATTGGTAACCATGAGAGGAGAGCGAGTTGATGCAATATGTCGTTTAAAGGATAATTTTATAATCGTTTGAATACTGTCTGTTGAAGTTTTCATCAATTTTCCATGTTTCAACTAAGATATTAAAATATTCATTTTTCACTGGTGTATAAACCCAAGGGCAGTCCGATTTACGCTCTTCATTTAAACTGAGAAATTCTTTCAATTTGAGCTCATCATTGAATACAACGTTTTTCGCGACACCCCGTAAACATTTAATAAACGAATTTCCAAATTGTGCGCATGATATGCATTATTTAACTTCATTGGCCATTGCCTCCATATTTTCAAGATGTTCATGGCTGTGTGGTTCCACATTCTGATGAATTTTTTTGCTACAAAATGCCCCATGTCTTGACAATGCAATATTAGGGACCTTAAGCATGTAGGACGGGAACACGACGACGGCAGCTATCAATACAATGCTTCATTGAAAAGAAATGAATTATTAAATACCTATGGGAGTTTTAGACGTGGTCTACGTTCTGTTTACAACGGCAAAACGTCGTTTATCACGTCCTATGTAGAACGTCTGCAGTTTTGAATAAGTCTTCCAAGGTTTGCACAAACGGAAGTAAAATTGTCGCGCTTCTCTCTGAAAAATGCGGTTTCTTGTAAAATTATCTTAGATATGCTCAGATATGGTGAAAGAACTGCAAATAATTCGGATGGTTTAGGGCAAAGTCGTTTAGGTTTATTGTGTGTAATCTTTTCTTTGTAAGTGTTATAGACAGACCCAAGATCTTTCGCACTTTTATAGGTCCGTTTTTGAGGAAGTAACTCCCAACCTCGTTTATAATTCGATACTTTTGCTTTAAATGTTGATTTGTTTCAACTTTAATTTTTGTTTGTAAATCCATAACATTCTTGTGCAAATAGCCGTCACCATAAACAATCCGATCTCGACTGGTGTTCTTAGAGAACAATTGGCCTTGTCTCCTATACCATTGTTTACATAACGTTGGAAATACCATGCTTTGGCAGGTTTCAACTGCATTTTTGCTTTCATTGGAATCAGCATGAGTGACAACAGAATACCATTGTTTTGACATGTGAGGAAAAGTGAGAGCTGAATTGTGGATTTCGACAGAGTTGGTATTAGAGAAAATTTCACATTTGCCACTTGGATAACTGTCAACAGATTCTCTTACACGTTCAACTGTAGGAGGGCTCTGTGTGCGTTGGGCTGCGCTGTCTTCAGCTGATTGATTGTGATACCATTGTTGTGACAAAGACAGAAATGGTACCGTCAA